TGAGGCTTGCATCCGTCAAACCCTTTTGGGAACGAGGTCTCTCTGAAGTGCCAAACCCTGACCCCTACACCCTAAACGCTAAACCCTGAACCCTAAACCCTAAACGCTACACCCTAAACCCTTAAACCCTGAACCCTAAACCCTAAACACTACACTCTAAACCCTTAAACCCTTAACGCTACACCCTTAACCCTTAAACCCTGAGGCCCTAAGGTAAGGGAGGCTAGGTCGTGAGCGCTCTACATGGGCTTCCGCCCTGGGCCTCGTAGGGTTTAGGGTTTAGGGGTTTAGGGGGTTTAGGGTTTAGGCTGTAGGGGCTTGGGGTTTAGGGCTTAGGGTGCTAGCATCAAGCGTTGTCAAGTAGTAGGCCTTGTTTGAAAAGGCTCCTATTAAGGGATGAAATTAAATTTACCAGAGTAGCGATCTAATGGTAAATAATATGGTTCCTTTATTATGGTGATTAAACTAAACCCCTTAACATGAACTCAGTTGATTGGGGAGATGTGACAATATAGCGACTAGAATAAGCAACCTCAAGAAACATCTGGTACATGACAGTTAATGCAACAACTAGACTATAATGAGAAGCCTCAAGAACAAGCCTTGGTAGTTCTTCGTGCTGCTACAGTATCTAAAGCTGCAACTTATGAAATACACCCACACTACAAGCCTACGAAGGCGTTTGAACCCTTTCTGGAACCCGGAAGCCTACATGCACCTGCGAAACTCTAGGCCTCTAGGCTGCCCAGCCCAACAGCCAACACCTGCAAAGCCTAATTTACATATTTAAATTACCAAGATCCTCAGTTAAAGGAAACTACAGGTGGGGAGTTTAGGATATATAGGGCTTCTATAAGGCTTCCAAAAGGTACGTAGACCTTCTATAAGGCTCCTATAAGGGCAACTACCCACCTGAACATGTCCTAGACTCAGAACACCCTGAAGCCGCCTCAATTGCTGAAGCACATAACTGATGCCAAAACACAAAATCCCAAAGCCACGCACCCTGCCCAAAGCCCACACAAAACCCTGTCCTAGGCCTTATCCGAAACCCTAAACCCTATAAGCCCTAAAACCCTAGACCTAAACCCCTAAACCCCTAAAGCCCTAAAGCCCTAAACCCTAAAGCCTAAACCCTAAAGCCTAAACCCTATCCCTCAAAAAACCCTAAATCCCACGGCCCAAGGGTCTGAGCTCATGGAGGGAGGCCGCCGAACATGGGAGCGCTCCGGGGCGAGGGCCCCCGGCCGGATGCTTTCCTGGGATTTCTTTTGGGTTTAGGGTTTAGGGTTTAGGGTTTAGGGTTTCTGTGTGGAGGGGGTGACCCCCGAACCCCTTTTTGTACACAAGGGACTCGACTGCTGCCCTTACTTCCCATGCCTCGCAACATTGAGCTAGGCTTCTGGAACCACTATCAATACATATACATGCAGCTCAACTCTTGAGTTTCTCAGCAGAGCCCTATCCCCTAAACCCCTAAACCCTAAGCCCCATGTTTTTTAACGTTAAAAAACCGAAATCCTAAACCCCCGGTGGTGAAGGTCCAGATTTACGGCTTGGGGAGCTTTCTGGTTTGGGGATGCTTGCGGCCAAGGGCTTTCTGGGGTTTGGAGTTCAAGATACGAGGGTTTTTTAGAGTATATGTAGGGTTTAAGAGCCTTGTTGCACAAGAACGCCTGTGGACGGGTCGAGGGATTAACCGTCCTACAAACCCCCGACCCTGACCGCTCAAAGACCTTAACACCCAAACAAGGATTCTCTGTTTAGGTCTGCAGAAGTTTATGGTCAGGGTATTGCCTTGCGGTGTGTGCCGGTTGGGGGTGGAGCCCTTGCGGATCGTATCGATCGTCCCCCCGGCTTTCCCCAAGATTCTAGACCTGAGCCGCGAGACCCTCAGCCTTAAGCCCAAAGCCCTAAACCCAAAGAACTAAACCCAAAGCCCTAAACCCTAAACCCGAAGCACCTTTCAGCATGGGCTTGGATTGTGTGAAACCCTAAACCCGGAGCCCTACAACACCTGCGAATTGAACACAGAATCCTGCGTCCTGCTCTCGGCATACTACTTGGAGGCTCAGGGGACTTAGTAAGCACGGGTATAAGTAAGGTACATGCCTAGACCCTAAACCCCTAAACGCTGCACCCTAAGTTATATATCTACATATAAACGCCAGGTAAAGTAATTAAAGCCCCACTTGCTACGGCCCCTGATCCCCTAAGTACGGAGCCCAAAAGGCTACTATTCCTAGTCGAGCCCCTGTACTAGTAGGGTTTAGGGTTTACCTTAACCCCAAATAAGCGACCTTTTCAAGGGCTGATACAAAGAGTTCCTGCTAAGGGAGCCCTACAACGGTAGGTTCTTTAGGGTTCAGGTCGGGCTTAGGGTCTGAACCTGACTAACCAAAAGGCCCAGGCTGCAGTTGCCCCGTAACCTTAGCCCGAGAAGCCTAATATAGGGGCCTCAATAATCAGAATAGGGTTTTGGGGCCCCTTATACTATCACTATAACAAGGAACCCCAAAAATAATACAGGTACTTATGTAGGCCCCTATATTAAACCCTGAGCCCCAGCCCCATGTTGCAGTTTACGGTTGGGGCGTTCAGCTTAACGGGTTTTAGCCTGGGGATCTAGGGATTTATCTAGAGCCGTCGCCGTTTTGGTCATCGCTGCGGGTTTACGGCTCACTAGGTTTACAGTATATATATATATATGTATATATATATATATATATACATATATATATATATACATATATAAGTACTAGTGGGTGTGTGCAGGGCTTTGCATGCGCGTTTAGGGTTGCAGGCTCATAGGGCCGTGGGGTTTCGGAAGCCTGCAACTTTCCTTTGGGATCGTGCCAGGAAGCCCTCGGCGTGCAGGAGAAGGTACACAGCCGAGGATTCCACGCGTGCCGCGACACGCAGGACGAACAGGATGGTTCCCACCGTTTGACTCATGGCCTTTGAGGCTTGGGTTTTGGCTTCAGGGTTTGGCCCTGAAGGTACAGCCCTCCAGTACAAAATCTATGCCCACAAAACATACCCCATCAGACAATGTAGGGCCTTGATAATTAGAAAAAAGCTGTGGGGTTTATTATACTATATATATATATATAACTATAACAAGAACCCCCCCTCAAAAAAAAAGTATTGGTAATTATGTAAGTTCCTATATTAGCCGATTTGCCCTTATTGCAGCATTATACAACTCGTAGAAAAATGTTGCGCAGCCCCTAAATGGCCTTTACAGCACCCTTGCAGACTGCTGACCATCCGACATAGGTCTCAGACAAACCTAAACCCTAAACCCTAAACCCTACAAACTTTGATTACAATCCCATACAGCGCCCATAATTCCCAGAACCCTTTCTGGACCTCAAAGGCCTGGAAACCCTAAACCCGAGCACGCTAGAAAGGAAATCTTACTTCCCCAATAAGCCAGGGAAATAAAAGGTTAAACTTTCAGATTGCTACTAAACTATAAGAACCCAAAAAGTTTAAAGGTTGGGTATTGGAGAACTAAGAAATTACAAAGGAACCGTTTCCCAGAAATCTGCCCGGGCGCTGAGTTCGCCAGGACCAGGGCGAGCTCCAGGAGCTTTGCTAAGTATGCCAGGAGGCAGCTGGGCGCACAAGACAGCTCCTTGCTGGCTTTCTGTGGCTGAGGCTTGAGGGTTGAGGGTTTAGGGTTGAGGGTTTAGGGTTTAGGGTTTCCTTTCCTGCATGTAGGGGGTCAGGGGCTTAGGGCTCTGGGGGGTTGGGTTTCGGGCTTCGAAGCTTTTGAAGTTGCAGGTTCGACGTCGATAAGCCAAGGACATTATAAAACCAGAGCACAGGCACAGATCAAGGTAGACAAGTACACTGTTAAAGGAAACTACAGGTGGGGAGTTTAGGGTATCTAGGGCTTCTATAAGGCTTCCATAAGGTATATAGACCTTCGCTCCTGTAACGGTAACCACCCAGCTGAAAAGGTCCTAGACACTGCCGTCTCCCTCCGACTCATAATTAGCCTCCCAACTTTAATAAGGAAAGATCGCAAGTTACCCCAGCGATCCGAACATCAAGGCCCTACCAGGCGTCCGCACTGGAGTGCTGAAGAAGTGAACCTGCATAGTATCCTCATGCGAGTTAGAAACCGAAACAGGCTAGCACCGTAAGACCCTAACTCTGAGCCCTGAATGAACCCCAAAACCCTAAAACCCTGAAGCCATAAAGTCACATGTTCGTTGAGGAGCAGTAAGGAGTTGGCCATAAGGCGAGGCCACCAGCTCTTGCTCCATCGATGAGTTGGCCGGAACATTCTCCTGAACGGTGCATCGCAGAGGTCAACGCAATTTGGGTAGTTTTCCAAGTTATGGTCCCTTTTTAGGTCTCCAATATAGTACGGCACCCTTATAAAAAAGGACCCTAAAAGGGACCCTATTTAGAGAACTAGCCAATTACTAATAACTTCAACTTAACTTGTAAACAACTCCGACTGGACAGTTGAATGAAGAGTTCTACATAACTGAAGTTAACATCCCCTCATAGTGCATCTGTTGATGTAAGTTTAAATATATTATATTGGAACATGAAGCCCTGTTCTAAGAAAGTATTCAGTTAAGGCTTCTATATACACCGTTATAGAAACCCCTGGCAAAAAAAACCCACACATGCTACTCTGTTTCCTCCGGCCCCTGTGCTGAGACCCAAACCCAAAGGGTCCAAAGTACCTGCGTGGTAGAATGTAAGGTTTCTATACTAGGAATCCTTATTATGATTTTGGAAAGTATCCCCCCCTAAACCCTAAACCCTGAACCCTGAAATCAGG